TGTATGCGCAGAACAGAGAGGCGGGGTGAGCAAAGCTCATTATCATTTAAAGTCATATGCACTGAAACGGCGTGCTGAAAACAGAGCTGTTTTTGACCAGGTAAAATAAGTGTTTTCTTACAATACTAATGAGAATTTTTAATTAAAGTATATTACAAACTTTTAATTTAGACCCTAAAGAATCATATTAGCTTGTACAAAAATGGCATTATATGACCCCTTTAAAATCTCGATAGTTAGACTTATAAACATTTTTTTTTTTTTTTATAAGGAATTGTCAAACCTCAGGCTTGTCATGTATCTGGCTTTTTATTCTTGGATAAGAATTGTGAAGACCCCAATACTGAGATATAATTTTATTTTCACATTAAATTAAATAAAGTTTTCTTATTGTGGAAAAATAATTTTCTGTGATTGACCCGATTTTAGCGATAACAAAGATAACTGATGGATCCTTTATGGTAATACATGATATGGTACAACTACAGTGCAATGCAAATATAGTAAATATAAGATAAAGTGAGAAGTAATAGTAAATAGTTTAGTCAATAAAATAAACAAACAGTAGGTTATACGGCAAATAAAATAGTAATGAATAGTATAATTATATAATATCACAAGTACATAATACAAATATTGATAATAGCATATAGTTTATGTATAATACTATAATAATAGTAATGGAATAAGAAATATCAATTACAGTATATAGACAATAAAAAATAATAAGTTAAATAGTGACTGAATAGTACAATCATTTAACAGCATAGCTGTAATAGATTGATAATCGCAAGTGGTATAATAAGAACAGCAAATACAATGTAATATCAATTGCAGAATAATATAGACAATATGAAAAAAATATAAAACATTATAATATTGATCTTTAAACTGACATTTAACAAATAGAGATGTAATTTTATTTTATATAGGCCTACATACAGTGAAGAGAATGTATATATAAAATAATTTATATATTTTAAAATATTCCTACATAGGCTATGTAAAATAAAATGGCACAACCCTGTCTCTTTTTGTGAGACCAAAGATCGCCCGTTACACAAGACGAATTATTTCTCATGTTTAACCACTAGACTAGAGACATCAGAGCCAGCGGCAAACGTCAGAAGCACTAGCCGAGGTAAGGCTGTTCCAGTGAAAAAGTGCTGTCCGGTGAAAGCCTGGATCTCACAACTCCGAAAACGTCAGATCAAATTTTTAAATAGGCGCTATCTTTATAAATAAACCACAGATTTGAGGTTTAAACAACTACATTGTCAACTGAAAAACTATTAAAACTACATTTCATGATACAATAACAGTAGTATTTTTAAATTCCGCGGCCTTTCTCCTCTGAACGTTACTATTACTACTTATATCATGACCAAATACAACCAGAAACAAATGTTCAGTCTTGCTTGTGAAAGATAATTTCTCGAGACCTGTTTTCAATTGTGTGGCGATTTGTACAGCCCCAAGCAGCACACGAAACAGGCATTTTTCTCAATTCTCGTTATGAGAAGTATGAGAAAGTTGCCCTCCGCAATATGGCGGCGCCGTTGACGTACGCTCTAGCGGCCAATAGGACGTCTATGCATTTATTATGTCTATGGTCTCAAGCATGCCGCACAAGCCCTGAAAAGTGAAGCCAAAACGTCTCGATCGCCCCCCGGTGGCCGGTCCTAGTATAGGTCATAAACCCCGCCTCCCCACGTTATTCAACGGCACGTGAGACCAACTAAACAATTAAATTACACTTCAAATATCGTTTTTCCAAAGATGATTTCTGTCATTAACGGCAGTTTTTATCACGCTGATGTAATTTCAAGAGTTTGTTTTTAAAATAAGTTTGTTTTTAGTTAGTTATTTGATGCGGTGGTGTGACGTCATGATTGACAACTGTGATTGACAGGTTCTCTGAGCGAAGTAGTCACTGAAGCACCAACAGACCTTTTTTGGGATCTTCGGAGGACTGAGGAGATTGGAGCTTTAATATATACATTTTGAAAAAGTGCCGATTGATTCTGCGAGAGTGAGGGCGGGGCCTTGATTTCGCGGCTTTACGTCCTGCTCACTACTGCACATGTCTGGTCCCGAAATTGCTACTGCGCAGACTCAAGTTCCAAGATGTCAGCGCCATATCGGGATACTGGCGGCTTCACTTCTGACCAATGGAAGAGAGCGAAGGGGCGTCATCCATCTTTTTTTACAGTCTATGGTTCTGACCAATGGAAGAGAGCGAAGGGGCGTCGTCCATCTTTTTTTACAGTCTATGGTGTGTCTGTGCGCGAGAGAGACTGAGGGCCCTATCTTGCACTCGGCGCAAATGACTTTGTACACTGACGCATGTATCATTCCTATTTTGCACCCGCGCAAAGCGGACTTTTCCCTCCACAGACACACGTCGGTTAACTAAGAAATATACTTGCGCTCCCCGGGGCGGTTCAGCGCAAAGAGGAGGCGTGTTCCGGCGCAAACTTTCCCTCATGCTATTTTGCTGTTCTATAAAACAATTGCGCCACTGACCAGAAAAAACCTAGTCTAAAGTCAGTGGCGCGTTGCGCGTTGTTCATTATGCTATTTTAAGGGCGCATGCTTGGCCATAATCAATGTAGCGTGTGCACAACGCACATACACGTTGATTCTCTCATCTAAGCAGCAGTTTTCATTTTTGCAAATCATACATTATTACGATAGATAGATAGATAGATAGATAGATAGATAGATAGATAGATAGATAGATAGATAGATAGATAGACAATTTATTATAAAAGCATACATGTAGCTTACACATTTACCCAAATTATCATACGCCTGTTTAACAGAAGTTAATTTGGGTGGGTTTCTCCATCCCCAATGTCACTTCTCTGTGTTTTACGGCCCTGACGAGAACGTTGCTCTCCTCGGCTGTGAACCGCTCCTGGCGCACGCCTGGCAAATCCGCCGTTACAATAGGAATCCGCTTTAGAACAAGCGCGCCTGCTCTTAAAGGGAATGTGAGATGACGCTCTGATTGGTTTATTTCACGTTACGCCCAAACCACACCTATGAATAATGTAGCTACTTCAGACCAACCCCTTTTAGATTTGCGCCAGGCGCAAGAGGCATTTATCCCGCCGGGAAAATAGCAACAGCGCCGGGATCCGCCCACAAAGTTACTTGTGCTTTGCGCTTTGACACTTGCGTTTCAGATCGTTAAAATAGGGCCCTGAGTGTGTCTGAGCATTAGTAAATTTGTGCATACTACATAGTTATATATATAATTACTATATAAGAGGCATGGAAGTTCGATAATTGGACAACAATATAAATAAAAACAACAATTAAATTCTTACCACTGAATTAGCAGACTGTGATTTGAATCAGATAGACAGAAGATGAAAACACTTTCTTGTCTGTCCCAAGTACCACTACAAGGGGAATATTTTTTCCACAATTTTTCAATCTTTACTCTAAATGACTCAGAGAAACTATGTGCTTGGAAAGGATGAGCTGCAAAATACCTTACACACCATGAGGTGGTCAATCCATTGTATTTGTTTTTTTTATATTATTTTATATTGTATTTTTATTTTATGTACATTGTATTTATAATTAATATTAGGATAGACTAGAGATATTATCTTCTGTTATAATAATAATTATTGCTATTATTATTAACTATTATCCGACTGCGCGAGACTTGTCTTTTGTGTGCATTTGCTTGTCGAATAATGTCAAACATTTTGTTAAAGATTATAACATCTTTGACAAAAAACAAAACAAAACACAAGTTTGTGAGTGTGTTTATCTGTGAGTGTGAGAGTTTGTGAGTGTGTGCGAGTGTAGTGTAGAGAACAAGTTCTGACGTTCAAACAAATCCTGTTAAGTTTTCTGATTTGTATTTTTCTTTATTTTTTAAAAATTATTTATTGTTCTGACAGCTCAGGTCCCTTTAAACAAAAATATATATAACAAAAATTGTGCACTTTATTTTTAAAAAGCCTATATATTTGGCAAATGTAAAGCATACATGCGTATGTTTTTTGTGTTAGTCCACTGGATTTTTTGCACTGTCAGTTTTGTTTTTGAATAACGGGTTGGAAATTAATGCTTTTTTCGTTTTCTTTTTTTAATCCGATTAATCGATTAATTGAAAAAATAATCGTCAGATTAATCTATTATTAAATTAATCGTTAGTTGCAGCCCTAAAAAGATTTGCATTGTTCAGTCCCCCCTTCTCAACCCCACACATCAGGTATCCAAGAAAACAGATTAACAGGACTGAGTGTCGGAGACTGGTAGAAGGCTAAAGAGGTCACATCTATAGGGGCTTAAGTAGATACTCTTCAGATCTTTATTCGTTCCTCCGCATCTGTGGCTGGTTAATGGCATTCCTCCCATCCATCCATTCAATCACAACATATCTGTGTCCCTTAGTGTGGTGAACAATCTCAAGTATGTCTGATTGGGTGACATTTGCATGAAAGCTGAATGAACACGTCTTTAGAATGCACAAGATGGGATTTGACGCGTTAGTTCAGTGAATTTCTATTTATCTTTCTCCTCCCTGGAATTCAGAAGTGTTTTTTTTTTTTTTGAGTTGAAGACAGTGGGTGTGAGATGGTAGAATATGGATCCTGGCCTGACGCGGCTGAATGCAGATGCAGAATTAGATTTGATGTTGACCAGAAGTTTAATATTTCTCAGAATTTGGGATAAAAAAAAAAAAAAAAAGGTAAATTCAGGTGAATGAGTGAAGTGCTCTCATGAGGTACCTACACAAATTCTTCAGATTACTGTCTATAGTCTGCAAGGAAAGATATGGACTAATTAACGTGAATACTTTGAATATCAGCAGAAAGTTATTTAACGTTCTGCTGGTGGGCAAAATGAGCAGCAGTGTGCTTTAACCATGATGGTGGCTTAAAATAGTTTCTCTTGTTGGGTCTTTGTAATGTCAGCTATTCAATGTGTAAGTATATACTACTTTATGGTTCTCTCTGTCCCTTTTATTATAGGATATACTTGGCTGGATGACACAACTCAGGAAGTAATTTCAAAAGAGCTCTCACAACTACCCAAGGTTTCTCTTGGAGGATTTACAAACACCTTTTCTCATTACAATGGCAATTCCAGGTGAGCTCCTAAATCCTCTGTTGTGTTACATGTCCGTGACTATAATGTGTTTATGGAAACTTTTTTTGTAGTTATTGTTGTTGTGTTCTTATATTAATTCATGTAGCTAATGCATTATTTAATGTTGACAAATTGAACCTTATAGTAAAAGTGATAATCCGATATGGACAGGTTTGTATTCTAGGCATTTTTTTTCTGCTGAAATATGTTTATTTTGAACATTCCCAATGGGAACAGGAAGCTAAAGGCTCAGAAAGAAGAAGTGAGCAGGGCACTGCAAAGGTACCTTCAAGGTTCCCTGCCTTCTGATGTTGCCTCCTTCAAACAGAGTCCTCAAGGGCAGCAAGTGCTTTGGAAGGTAAATCTCTAACAATAATATGAATAAGGCTGTATACTTGCATATCACTTGAAATATAAGGATGCAGATTGACTATATGGAAGTAGTCCTTAAAAGTGAACTGATTCCTGAAAGTGCTTAACTTCAGCTTGGAACTGTAAACAAATGGACATAAACTACCATGCATAGGTTGTTTTTTGTACAAAATATAGTAGTTTATAAATGCACAATTATTTTAATGCACTTCTAAGTAACAAAGTGATTTGTACTTCTTTAGACAACTGGCACATAGCTACTGGGGACATTTAATGTGAGGTAGAACCTGCTTGGTACCCATACACCATCACCAAACAGTTGTTCTTGATGTTGTGCGAGTTGAAAAGTTCACTGCACTATTGAACATTAGTATCCTGCAGTGCTTTTGGAGCCAGCGTGTGTATATGGTGGTTTATTCATCGAAGCCCACCCTGCTGTTCTAAAGTCAGTTTGGCCTTCCATTCTGCAGGGGTGGGAAGAATATAATTGTTTTATATAATCTCTCAAATAGAGCAGAACAATATGCAGAGCAAAAAGAGGGAGGCTGACACTCATGGATTTATTTCCATGCACTTTAAACATTATTATCTTTGATCAGCAACAACAACATTTCCCTAACAAATTGGTACCATATGCATATTATCGTTTTGGAAAGAGTACAAAATGTTTTATAAAATTCACAATATGATGTTTGTTTGTTTTTTTAATTAATTCACATATTTTCATTTTACCCCCCAGTACAAGGGAAATGGACCCCATAATCACAAGAGTTTTATGCAGCTCAAAGAGAAGCCTCCTTCACCCCACATCTCTTTCCTACAAGGCCGACCTGATCTCCAGGCCATTGTGGAACAGCCTCCCCAAGGTCAATCATTCTTCACTGGGTTTGAACAGGATCGTACTGGAGTCCCTCTTGCTGAGCTTCAGCGGTATCAAGCTGGGCCCATGAGAGCACAAAATCCCGGTAAAGGTCAAACACAGGGAAAGCTGCGTTACTTCAGCCTTCAGCGCACTCCTGCTACCAAAATAGAAAAACTGCCAGGAGCTTCCAAGCAACCTCCAAAGCCCCAAATCGAAAAATTGTTTTTCAAATCCTCAGCAAGCAGCCCTGCTTACAAGGAGCCCCTGAGTTCAGTAGATGGTGAGCTTCTTCTCTATATATATTTAAAAAAGAAGCCAGGAAAAAAAAAATATAGTATGTTGGCTGGGATGAGTTTTTGCATTTTAATTATCCATATTCAGGAAATGAAGTGACTGTGACTGAAGGACTGAAGAAACATAGATATCATTATGATAATTTCTTTCCCAAAATTTAAAGCACAATTATTTAATTATGCATTTACCTCAATCTTAAAGAGACTCTGAAACAGAGGTAGAGATGAGAAACAGTCTGACTCCAAATATGCGTTATGTCAGGTGCTATACAAGTTAGAGCAGGATGATTTTTGTACACTTGCAAAAAACTTTATTAGATAGTTTTTCTATCTTTACTTTTATTTTCTATCAGAGAAGTTCATTGACGGAGTGGTTAACCAGCTCGGCCGTCAGAGCGTCAATGTGGATACTTTAACCCGAAAAGACCTGGACCAGCTATCCAAGGCCATTACCCAGGCCCTGCAGGTGGTTGATGGAGTGGAAGGAGTCAAAGGTAGAGAAGCCACACAGGATGAAGTGGAGGTGAAGAGGGAACCCAGTCAAGAGTCACATCAGGTGGAGAAACTAGAAGACGGCACCACACATAAAGGTAGTTATCCCTTAATAAAGATAAATATTTGATTAGGTCCTCGTTACACATGCTTTAAAACCCCATTTACAGCCCTTAAGTTTTGAAAATTTTGATCAATCAAGAGCCATGAAATTTACCATAATTTAAAATTATGTTCACAGAAATTCAAACAGAAGAAACTGGCCTTAAATCTGATGACAAGGTAATTTGTTTATGCAAAGATCCATTTGACTATGATACTGTATATCTCAGCGATGAAGTCAATAGAATTCCCTGAGTAATTTTCTGTTTCCAGGACAAAGGTTTTATCAGCCAGCTGCTTGAGTTTCTGGATCATAACTCTGGCCATGGATCTGCTCGGCCTCCCCAAGCAGAAGAGCCTTTTCTGGGGTACATCAACCAGCCAAACGCTGGAAGCCCGTTGAGAGCTAGTTTGGAGAACGTCCAGAGCCGGACAACGCAAACAGACCTGGACCTGATGAGAAAGAAAATGGAACCTGACACTTTGGATATAGAGCCAATGGTGGACCCTGAGGTAGAACAGTGGATGCACGGTTCTGTAGACTCTCCGGAAGTAAAAGCTGAGGTTCATCCAGGAAAAGTGCCACAAAATAATTATGTGGAGAAAGAGGAGGTGGAAAAGAAAGGTGTGAGAGTGGAGGTGGATATTACAGCATATTCAAGTCCACATGACGGAAACTTTGGCTACATTATTACTGAAGAGTAAGTAAGAATAGAAACACTTTCATAGACTTTCTTGAGTAACATGATGTTTGCACTCATGTAGGACACATGGATCTACAGTATGCTTTTGAAAGAAGTCTCTTCTGCTCACCAAGACTACATTTATTTGATCAAAAATACAGTAAAAACAGTAATATTGTGAAATATAATTACAGTTTAATATAACGGTTTTCTGTATATATATTTTAAAATGTAATTTATCCCTGATGCAAAGCTGAATTTTCAGCAGCCATTACTCCAGTCTTGAGTTTCACATGATTTGATGCTCAAAAAACATTTCAAATGATCAATGTTGAAAATAGTTGTGCTGCTTGATATTTTGGTAGAAACCATTATAAATGTTTTTGGGGGGTTTTCAAGATTCTTTGATGAATAGAAAGCATTTAACTGAAATTAGGGCTGGGTAAAAAATATTGATTTCTCGATTTTATTTGATTTTTATTTTTATGAACTGATATAGATTCTTAAACCCCAAGAATCGATCTTTTAGTCTATGCTGTTTTCAGTTGATGAATGAACAGAACTTTGTATCACCCTCCCATCCAATTAATTGGAATAAGCTTTGGCGTGAATGATTGTGAGGATCCTGAATAATGCCCTGATTCACACCTGATTCACACCATATATATATATATACACTCACCTAAAGGATTATTAGGAACACCAGACTAATACTGTGTTTGACCCCCTTTCGCCTTCAGAACTGGCGATCTCCAATAACTTGATTTATCTCACAGACACTCCAGGTTTTTGGCTCCCATTACTGCAGTCCCATTTAACTTGGAGTACCTGAAATGCATAATCTTAAGAAGTAGATTTAAAAGTGTGTAAGTGTGTATTAGAAAGGAGTTGTAGGTGTAAAAAGGCATCAGGAATACAGCTGAACTCATGTTAAAATTCTTTCCCCCCCCCCCATGTGTGTGAATACACTTCCATTTGGATGCTTATCATTCTTTAGGCTTGTGTGCAAGTCGCTTCGTGTGTGTTTGCACGTTTTCTGATGTGTGAGCGAGTGTGTGTGTTTTTAAATCGGGCTGGCATGGCCATATCATAAAGACATCACACTTCACAGGGATTCCATTTACACCTTATTGTTTGCCTTATTGCTGGAAAATACAGGTGATTTATCAAAGCATGCAAGCCACCTGTGTCCTATTCCCTATGTGTTTTATGCACTCTCTGCTCTCTGTATTCCTCCTATGTGCTGTGTTCAATGTTTCAATATTGAATTGTATATGGTATCCATCCATCCAGCATCACCCAGATCTGTATAGTTAATGTTTAAATGATCTCATGTATTGCCTGAAGACCACACATTTTAATATAACTATTTTATATTAAGTGCTTTTTGTTTTAAATGTAAATTGTTCAACTTTGCAGATTTTGTCATGTTATTCCTAGAAAAATATTATTAATTTCTGCAATCCCAAGGTTGAGAACCTATGTTGTAGCCCTTAATATTAGTGTAACTACGCTATGGCTATGGATCATACATCAAATGAAGCCGCTTGTTTAAGTAGAAATGTCATATTACTGTTTTAAAAGATTGGACTTTTGATTTCACCTGACCAACAGTAAAACAGGTTAAAAACATCTTATAGACTTACAGTAAAGGAGAGACCTGAGTCAGTCCAGATTAATAACAGAGACTTAAGAAAGGGCTTTTTTGAGTTTCTGCCAGTAAGCAACCACCTAGCTACTGCATGGCGACATTCTAAATACTACTCAGAACATTTTTGTAAACATCCTGGCAACCACCCATAAAACCATATCACCACATTTTCTGGTGAGCATGTACAAATCTAGATAATAATTTTTTCTATTTCTCTTCTCCTTTTTGTCTTTTTTGTCATAGTTCCCTGTCCACTGATCAGGGGCTGAACCTCATGGAGCTCTTAGCTGAAAGAGTCAGCCTTCATGTAACAGATTTTCTACAACTCTCGTAAGTACACACACACAAACATACTTGTTGAAGACAGTCTCATGCTGGTCGACACATTAATGGCACTAATGGAACACTCAACCTGTGGGTTTGTTTTGTATTTCCATTTCGCAGTATAGTTTGGGCTAAGTACTTATTTTCAAGTGACAGCTCAATGATTATGAGTGTGTTCTTAATTCTGTGCATATAAGTTCAAGCTTTATTTAAATGGTTCAGATAGAGAATAAGAGAGAATGCATCTCTGTATGTGTAGGTGTGTGTTATTCTGACCTGCCTGCAGTGGTAAACTTCAGTTCAATTACAGCACATTTCTGACGATAGGCAATGTTGTCCGAGTGCACAGATTAAAGACAGCTTTCTGCTTAATTGTTTGGAATGCAACAAATGCTTTCTGCCACATCTGTATTTTCGTGAGGAACTTATTGTGGTTACATTTCACTCACGCACTTAATAAAGTGGAGCTTTATATACAATGATAAAGGAAATACAAATATTAATGCAATTACTAATTTCTTGCACTCTCACTTTCTCTTTCTCTCTCTCTCTCTGTCTTGATATTGTTTTTTATCAATACGGATGTATCAGATGTCCTCAAATGGAATTTTTCAGGTTTAGCTTTCTTCTTGAAACAAAGTATGTACACACATAAAAGTAGTTTTGTGGATTATAATTACCCTATGGTTAAAAAGTTCAGTAATATTTTTTTCAAAGGATGCAATAAATTGATCAAAAATGACAGTAATACATTCATAATGTTACAAAAGATTATTATTTTTTATATATTTAATTTAAAAAAAAACTTACCAACCCCAAACTTTTCAATGGCAGTGTTTATCAGTTTGTTTATGAAAGAGGGATTTAACAACCCCAAATTTTTCAATGGCAGTGATTATCAGTTTGTTTATGATAGAGGGATTTTTCATATATTTTTATTGGTATGCACACAAAAAACAATGTAGGCACTTGGATAGCAATAACAAACATATTTACAACTTTTTTTTTTTGACCACTGTCCAGGTGAGCTGTGTCCGTGTGTTTGAGTAATTTTCTCTCTTGAATAGTGGCTCGTTTCTATTTACACAGGTATCTGCTAATGTATCTATTGTCAGCTCATGCTTTTCATCTTTTCTCAGAAATAATGGAAAGGTGTACTGGATGATGCGCACTTTTATATAAAACATTATGCCATAATGTCTGTATTATTTTGGACTAAAGAAATGACGGGCAGAAAACCGCAGTGCACAATCAGACTACATGGTGGAGAAGCAAGATGCTGCTTGTATGATCAAAAGCAGTTAAAGATCACGAAAATTCAGCACACACTCGCTCGAATATTTGTTCACCCAAAGGCGGTGCTGCCATGTTTGGGCTTTGCGCTGTGTTGCAGTTACATAAAGAGTCAGTGTAGCACCTCTCTGAACTCCAGACATGACGTAAGGGCTGTACTGTGTGCAGACAGTAGGGGGCACAGAAAAACACATACGCAGTCGTGGATTTGCAATCAGACGGTCTTGTTCTCTTACATTGAAACACTAACAGACGCACATTCATTTACACTAATTCTACCTCTCTTCTGTTGTCTCACTCGTTATGTATTCTTCTACACCCCCCCCCCCCCCCCCCCCCCACCCCCCCCCCCCCCACACACAGTCTACCTATCATCTTCATCCCACACTCTCCCCCACAGTGCAAAAGAAGCCGAACAGAAACAGTACCGTTACATTATAGCTTCCCTCCCTCTGTGTACTGGACGTTGGTGGCATTTTACTGATAGCTTATCAGCACTGATGGTGTTATAACCAGGAGTCTGGGCCAATGTGTTTATTATTTAGCTTTGACAGTCAGTGTTTTCATCAAGAAATTTCCAGATTCTCTGGGAAAAGAAGCCAAACAGAGGTGTGTGTTCCGGTATACAAAAGAATGCAAAATATGGAGGGAAATTGGTGTAGTGAAAGTAAATACAAGTGGAGTGATAATGTTCCCAGTGTGCATGTGTATATTTGTAAGGGGGAATTATGTTTTTGTATATTAAAAAGGTAAAGTGTATGTATGAGGACACTGGTAGGCAAAACAATGTGCAAGGTGTTTTTTGTCCCATTACACAGACAACAAAAATGTAGACCTGTCATGCCTAACGGCAAATAATAATTATATATAATTACACACACACATCAAAACCATACATTACGTTACATATCTAATTCTTAGCTCTTTTACCATACAGATTTCCAAAAACAAACAAAAAACTATTCATCTTAAGACATTTATTCTTAAAACTAAAGGTTTCTCTTTAATGTTTTAATGTTTTTTTTTAGTTTTTTTTTTTTTAGATTATTGCTATGATGTTTCTCATATCATCTGTTATTCCCACTGTGGATATCATTTTTAAAAATGAAAATGTGTCTTGATGGGTTAACATTAAGCCATGGTTTACAATTATTTAAAATATGATAAGAATAAAAGGACACACAAGAAACTAGAAGCACTATTATTTCCAGCAGATATCTGTGTGTCTGTGTGTGTTAATTCTGCTGAGGATGAGAGGTTGCCTTTGGCCACCTGCTGACGTGTGAATGGGATTTTGTTCTGGTGACAGATCCATTCCTCCAGTCTTCCACCTCTCTTTCTTTTTCTCCCCTCTTCCCATTTTTTTCTCTCTCTATTTGTGACCCTCACCTCACCCTGGTCGGTAGTGGGAGCAGCTTCAGAGCTGCATCCCAGATAAATGCATCTGCCTCAGAAGCAGGAAACAGGAAGATCCCTTGTTGAACAACTGAATGTTTATGAGCTAACCATCATATTCACTGCTTTAGTCATCTTAAACAGATAAACAGATATGTCGAGATGAACAGTAGCTCATCTACAGGTCTGTTTTGATGTGGTGGCATGCCAGTTAACAGATCTTTCTCTTCCTTTGCCTGAGTCTGTGTTTTTTTAATCGTGAGGGGATGTGTGACGGTTTGTTTAAACTGTGTCAGTTTTGAATATAATTTTTTTTACTTCCATTTCCTTTAAAGGAACAATTTGCCATGAAATATTATACTTCACAGCATTCTCTGTTAGAATAGATAAATGAATGAGGAGTGCTGCTCGGATCTCACACAGACAGCTGTTTGGCTCAATCACAAATACCATTTGTGCGAAATGCCATCGTGCATTTGCACAACATTTCTGGATCACCTATTCAAACGCTGCAAAGAGATTCATTTACAATGCATTGAGCCTGTGAGCATTTTTTTTAAAGAATGATTTCTTTTACTTTTTTTATTTGGACCTGTTTGCTGAATGGAGTTGATCTACTAAACATTTTAGACAACTCTAAGAACATCAAGTTTCCTGTGAGGATTTATTTCATGGAGAAAAAACTTGTCAATTTATGTCAAAAGCAGAAAGGGAAGCTAACGGCACAGATCTGTCATAAGAAAATGAACCAAGACGCAATATTCCCCAGTGATCTGATGTTTTAACTGTGCAGTTGCGGTACTGCAGTTGACTGTGTCTGCAACAATGTATTTTTTAAATTATAAAAGATTATTTTCATGACTCAAAGCTGCAACAGTTTTGTTCATCACACTCATTTCATACTTAGATCTCTCTTCTTACTTGTTTTCTCCTTATTGTCTCATTCTCGCTCTGTCTCCTGTATCTCTCAGGGTTCTGGGTCCAGCAGTAACCTTTCGAGTGCGCCCCAATGCTCGAAACATTAGCACGTCCCAGCTAGCCAGAGTGGCAGGTACGCACAAACACAGACATGCACACACACACACACACGTACACACACACAAACACACACACACCACTCGTTCCACTACTGCGTTCTAGTTGCTATTCTGATCATCTCCTGACACATTGGGAAAGATCCTCTCATAGTGCCACGACCTTGATTGCAGCATTAGTTATTTTAAAGGTTTAAACCCCCATTTTACAGTTCACATAAGAAATTTGCGCGCACACACACATGCAAAAGCAAGAAATCAAACAAAAACAGATACAAAATGTCTAACTTTTTGTGAATATGGACTCTGATGTATCCAGGCCTTGTGAAATCACTGTTATATGTATAATAAACAGTGTATGTACTATATTGTTTTAGTTTAAATGGGTGCGATGTGAGGATGTCATCCATTTCATTTGTCTTTTTGTCTGCTGGTGTTTTGTACCAGTATTTATTTAGGATGGGCTTTGCAAATTGTTCCCGGTTTTAATTTAATGTTTTTTTCTTTTCTTTTTTTTTTTGGATGAGTAAAATAGCAGTGATACATCTTCCTTTGTGAATCATGGTATATATAATTTTTAAGTATCGACCAATACCAGGATTGGACAAAATCCAAAATTGATTAATTGACCCTTTCATTTGAGTGGAAATTTTAAATGTATTGGTCCCACCCACAGGAATTTGTTGTTGTTACTGTATTTTTAATCAAATAAATGCAGAATTGGACGTCTTTCAAAAACAAAAAAAATCTTACCGACCCTAAACTTTGGAATGGTAGTGTTTGTAAAACAAAATTTCTATAGCTGACATTCAACCAGACTGATCTGTTTGTAAGGTTTATAAAACTTTCAAACTTCAAAACTTTCAGACAAGGATTTTTCAACTCAACATGGCAAGTTTTTATTTTAACAAATCTATTCTAGGTTAAAAATGTACACTTATTACAATAATATTCTATGAATTTCTTTGTCCCCCCCCCCCCTGTTTTAATTTAAAATGCAGATCTGCATCCTGATAGAATAGACATTTAAAAAGCACTCTTAATTTAATGCTGAATGCAGCACAACCCTGGAAAATACTGACCATGCCTTCTAATTATGACTTTGCTACATTTTGAAATTCTAAAACAGTTGTTTTGCAGTACCGTTTGAATTTTCATCATTGGTGTCAGGAATTCAGCATTTATAAACTGGAACAGAATAGACTGCAGTATTGCATCCCTTTTTCAGTCACTGTTTTAACATTTAACACTCAGGATTTCACATTTGATCTTTAATGCACAAAAGAAAGGGCAAAGAATGAAAGGAAAAACAAAAGGAATCTGACATCATAAGGTCTGGATTCCCTTGATCCATCATAATTACTACTAGGGAAAACAGATTCATGTGAATTTGTCCCATGTCTGTCTGTGCTTCCTGACAGATACGCAAGAGATAAGACAAGAGATACGCAAGGGAAAGATTTCACAGGAATCTTTGTAAACTGGACCTGAAATACCTCTCATTTCAGTTCTACAGATAATGCATAAGTCTATTTGTGTGTGTTGTCCTTCTTGTGGCTGGTTGCTGGAGTTGTTGGACATCTCGTCCTTATAGACCCAGTTCTGATTGACTGTGTGTGTGGTGTGTGTGTGTGTGTGTGTGTGTGTGTGTGTGTGTGTGTGTGTGCATGTTTCAGCATCTTTGGGAATGCGCTCCAGTTTTGTCCAATTTTATTTGGTGTGAATTTCGACTTTTATTTGTGTACGTGCATCTGCGCAAGTGTGTATATCTCTAGTCTGTCCTCCCTTTGAGAGTCTCTTGTAGCATGTTGAGAGAGTTAATGGCTGGGCTCATCAGACCCAAATGTCAGACAAAATGTTAAGTCAACATGATCAGCCGCTCTCACACAGCAGATAAATTATGAAAACCTTGGTGCCTGAATACCAATTTATTACTTTATTTAAACAGAGAGAATCTCTCCTCACACTTTATTACTCCTGAATACACACTGCTGTTCGCACCTAATCGTTTATTCAAATGTTTTGTGCCTTTGACATCACATACACCCCTTAGGTATTTAAGCAACTTCACAGTATTTGTGATCAGTGGAAAATATGGTGGAGTGTTGAGGATTATGTTTGGGTTGTAACTGTTGATATGTTTAAATGTCCATGATTTACATCTCTGGTTTGCCTAAATCTTTCCAGAAGCAGTGTTTTTACATTTAAAACAACCAAATTTTGCTTATTTAACTTCTCAAGTGCTTACTGCAATTTTCAAGGGATATTATAAACTTCTATTATAAGTAGCTTGAATTGCCTCTAGCTCAGCAGTCTGATTTTTAGAAGCACTGAAAGGCATCAGTCCTTTGTGCATGTATGGAGCTCTTTTGTAGCACATTTCTAAATGACACTGAAAACCACATGTACTGTTGACCTGAGCACATTAGAGAACATTAGATCAGCCTGTTAGGCAAGAGTCTTCCTTTATATATAACCCCCCTCCATTCAGACACGCAAAATGGAGAATGTTTTCATGGGTGTCTGAAAGGAACATGTTCCACTTAGTTGTATTCCTCTGGTTCTGCCACACACATCTGTCTATGACAGCAGCTCCCTTGTGTTTTGTCTTGGTTGTTGTTGTTGTTGTATGTCATACAAATGTGTCAATTTATATTTAACTTCCTGTATTTCCCTTTTGGGGACAAAAAAGTCTGTCTGTCTGAATTTTATAGTGTAAGAAGAAAAATAAATACAACTACAATACCACAGTACTTTTTAAGAAAAGTTATAGATAAGATAAACTTGTTTATAGTTTATTCTCAATCGGTTTATAATACCAAACATGCATTCATTATTTTCTAGCCAGTCATATACCACATTACACTCTGTTATTGGGTAACACTTTATACTACACCTATTTATAGAGGATTTGCAATTTTTGAGTTAATAGTTATTTAATCGTCAAGCATTTGCTCATACATTATTAATATATCAAAATGCATATACAAAGAGTACATCATTTATAATTAAAACATTTTTTTAAAGTCAAAACTATCTGTGCAAGATAAGTCATTCACCCATTTTTTCCCAAAGGTTGACCTTTACAATTTTGTTGTAGAAATCTTGCTGGATAAAATACATTTATACATAGCATACACACGGATCCTGTGTGTGAACTGTATGATACATTGTATACTGAACCAATGAAGAATATATATGGCAAATATAGATATGGAATATGAAAATATTAATATGAAAATGCACAATATTGATGAATATATGTTGCAAATGCTTTAGAGCATGTAGTTATTGTAACGTGTTGTTCTTATTTGTTTGATGCCACGCACTCTCTCAAAAGTTGTTTTGAAGTTGTTTCGGCAACCATGGCTTCACAAACATGTAACCATTAATTATCTCTGACAAAAAAATGATCACTTCCTGCCAAACTATTTCCAGTGATCGAGCCGCAGTATAGATGTTTGTATCCTGTAGGGTTTATGTATATGGCAGGGATTTAATATTCTGATGCAAAGCTGTGCTGAAGTCTTTCAAACTGCTAGCAACACAGCAACTAACTGAAGGGCTTTATGGGGGGTCTGGGGTGCATTCATTAGGACTGAGGAATTTGCTGTTGTACTCTATTCATCTGGAAAGAAAGCTTTGGACAAAAGACTGGATATGGTAATCCCTGCCTGGTCTCAAAACAAAAGATGAACCCCTGCTTTCTCTCTCTCTCTCTCTCTCTCTCTCTCTCTCTCTCTCTCTCTCTCTCTCTCTCTCTCTCTCTCT